CAAAACCGGTACCCGCCAAAGCCAACATCGACAAATCGAAATACTACCGCTTCCTCCTAAGCCACTGGCACGTAACAGAGGATTGCATCTACTTGAAAGATGCGATCGAAATCCTAATCAAGGACGGACATCCGAAGAGGTACACCCGGGAAGGAGACCCCCCGCGACAGGAGGCTCCCGAGGCCAAAAGGGTCGAAGACCTCCCCCCTCCCGACAATGATTCCGGCCTAGAGGTGACCCTCAGCGTTGGCCGACCTGAGGACTAGTTCACACTAAGAGAATTTGGTCTCCCTGCCGAACTTCAGCTGCCCGAGGAGCCAGTGCGCCCAACCAGCCGGTGGGAGTACTTCCCCAGAGCAATGATCATTTCAGGCGGGACCCCGAGCAAGCTCTCGATTAGACCGGTTAAAAGGAAGTTCGACGAGCTAATGAGCAATAACTCCATTAAGATGAGCACGCTCGACAAGTTCCGAGGTGGATCCAATCCGATTACCTTCTATCTCGAGGAGCTCTCCGGGGGAGCCTTCAACTCAGCCATTCCCCTGCTGATACGGGCACAAATGGCCAATTTCGATGTCTGACGCATCCTGGTCGACGGAGGGAGTTCAGTGGATATCATGTATACCCACCTCTTCTCGACACTTCAGCTCGACGGGTCCAACCTGGCCCCTACCTGGGCTCCGACCTCCAAGGCTTTAACGGGACGATGACAAGACCGTGGGGATACGTGGAGCGCAAGGCCACCTTTAGGGGAAAGGAAATCGCCAGAGAAATCAACATTCGTTTCCTGGTCGTCAAATGCCTGTCTCTGTACAACTGCATCCTAGGCAGGACGCCGCTGGCCGAACTTACCCTCGTGCCATCAACCGTCCACTTGAAGATGAAGTACTACACCAGGATGGGAGCCGTCGTCACCCTCAACGGGGACATAGAGGCTGCCTGGCAGTGCTTTGAAGTCAGGGGTCAAGCAGGCACAAGCATATCTAAAAAAAACAAGAAACATGCCTGAAAGGTTGCGAAAATGTGTGATTACATTAGTTGATGTGGTCGATGATGAAGGTGAACTTGTCCACTATGTTTTCTATGCAAATACTAAGTCTGTCAATTTAACTGAGACATTGAAATAAAACTATCAAAATGTGCTACCCCACCTAAACAAGTCGGCCCTATAGGGCCTCAGACTTTTTAGAGCTGAGGCAAAAAAGCCATGTTGTAATATGGGCTCGAAAATTACTACCCGACTCCGGCCCTAGATGGGCTTCGGGCTACCTAGCCCTGAACGAGTGTTTTTTTTTAAAATACAAAAATTAAATTAAAAACCCCATAATGTTTATTATAAATAAAATTAAAATTTTTATATTATTTTAATCATAATACATTTTTAAGTACTATATTATCTTTTATAAATACTATAATGTGTTTTTAAATACAACACATGTCTAAATTGTATAAAATAATACTCAAATATTTAACATAAGAGAAACTAATAAAATACGAGGAAAAATGTTGATTATATTAATGTATAAGATTTAAAAGAGAAAAATTGAATAGAATAGAGATAAAATTTAGTGACGCGAGAAAAATCAATGTGTTATTTTGGAGTAAGACAATATAAGTATTAATATATATTTTAAAATTTTTATACCTATGCGGGTTTAACGGGGGCTACCCACGGTCCATACGGGCTAGCCCTAATGGGTAGTGGACTTTTAAAGGCGGGGCTAAAAAAAGCCCTGAAAAATATGAGCTTTCATTTTAAAACCCAAGCCCTGTGATTTTTTTGGCCGGGCGGACCGGTCCATACGGGCTAGCCTATTTTGACAACTCTACATTAAAAGACTCAAAAAAGATGCAGACGATGAATGAGAAACTGAAGCCCATAGAAGTTAACAATACCTGGTCACAAGTCGAATTTCCATAAGGCAAGAAGTCAATTGATGTGAAGTGGGCATATAAAGTGAATATGAATCCAAAAGGAGAAGTAACTAGACACAAAGCAGGACTTGTAGCCAAAGGATTTCTTCAGAGAGAAGGAATCAAATTTGACGAGGTCTTTGCACCAATTGCTAGGATCGAAACAATTAGGTCGGTTGTTGGTCTAGAAAACATGAATAACTGGTATATGTGTCAAATGAATGCCAAATATGCATTCCTAAATGACCTTTTAGATGAAGAAGTATATGTTATACAACCAGTTGGCTTTGTGAAGCAAGGTCATGAAAGCAAGATACATAGGCTACATAAAGCCCTGCGTAGTCTCAAGCAAGCTCCAAGAGCTTGGAATAAGAAGATAGATAGTTTCCTATGGGAGAAGAAATTTGTGAAGTGCACAACTGAGCATGAAGTATATGTCAAAAGAAGCAGGAGTGAACTGCTTTTAATATGTCTCTATGTCGATGACCTGTTGATAACAAGTAGTTGCAAGAAGGAGATCAAATACTTTAAAGCTAACCTAAGCAAGGAGTTCAAAATGTCTGACCTGGGCAATGTTTCATACTTCCCTAGTATCAAATTCTACAAGAGTAGTAAAGGCCTTATGATACATCAAAGAAGATATGGAAGTGAAATACTCAAAAGATTTGAGATGGAAGACTGCAATGTAACTTCGACACTTGCTGAACTAAGACTGCAATGCAACTTCAACACCTGCTGAACCAAGACTGCAACTGTCAAAGGACTCAGATGAAAACGGTGTCGATCCAACTCAGTATAGAAGACTCATTGGATCATTAAGATACCTTTTTTCACGTAATGCCTCATCTAGCATACAGTGTAGGTATGACAAGTATATTCATGTAGAAGCCAAATGTACCACACATATCAGCCATAGAAAAGATATTAAGGTATCTTAAAGGAACTTTCGACTATGACATTTTGTTTCCTATAGTAGATGAAGGAAAAGAACGCAAACTAGTGGGATACACTGACTCGAGTTGGTGTGGTGATACTGAGAATAGAAAATCCACAATTGGGTATGTGTTTATGTTAGGTGGTGCACAAATTGCTTGGACCTCAAGAAAAGAACCAGTAGTAGCGTTGTCATCATGTGAGACCGAGTACATAGTTGTCTCCCTTTGTGCATGTCAAGTAACGTTAATGGTGAACCTGATCGAGGATATGTCAGAAGAAGACCATGGAGCAATGATCATGAAGATCGACAACATGTATGTTATCAACCCGCCCAAGAATCCGATAGCACCTGAAAAAAACAAACACATCGAGATGATGTTCTATTATCTTCGTGAGCAAGTAGCAAATGAGAAGATAAACTTGGAACACTCCAGAGCTGAGAATCACATTGCAGACATCATGACGAAAGTTGTACAGGTCGAATTGTTTAAGAGATTAAGAACAACAAATTATGTGATCTGTTAAATATGTAATTATCTGTGTTAAGCACGTTGTAAGATTTGTTTGACAAAGTTAAAGTCAAATATATTCAATAATAGTCGAAGTATATAGTTGTCGAAGGAGTTAACCTCGACAAAGTTAAACTTACCATTTAATTTGTTTATTAGTTAGTCAGAGATTACTTGGTGTTCAAGTAATCTTATCTATAAATAGCGAAGTACCCTACTATTATAAAAAAGTTAAATAAGAGAAATTCAGAGTGTATAAACGCAGAGAGAAACTCTACAGAATTGATTCATCTTCTTTCCCTTTCTCTCAAAATCATTTCTCTTTTATTTTCCAATTCACTTTCACGAGTTTTCTTTCTTCTCAAATCTTTGTGTGGTGGAACTATCTTGCAACTAAGGAGTGGTTGAATCACTTGAGTAAAAAGTGAAAAACAAAAAAATGATCAATATAAAAAATTAATTCTCGTTCAATCAAAATTGATTCTGATTATTTTTAAAATTGAAGTTAATTCTAACCATCTATTTCCACACTATCATAATTAAGTTTGCTATTTGAGTAAGAATATTACCAATATTTTGATTTGCAAAGTAACAAAGTTATAATATACTACTCATCAATAATAATTTTTAAACAAATGAATATTAGAAGATGGTATGATTAATTAGGCATGACAAGCATTCACCAAAAAAAGATGATATGATGATCACATGGGTTGGGTTGTCAGTTGTCTCGTAACACACAGCATAGCCCACATTCACGCTCATTTGCCTTCAGACACAATTGAACTTGTCTTCCATACACTTTTCTTTCTTACTCATTTACCATGAAATGAAATCCTAATTTTTTTTTCCATGTCTCTTAAATAAAAAAATATTTTTTTACACTGTCAATTAATTTTAACTGCGTTATTTAAATATTTTAACTTTTTTTAATTACTTAAAAAATAATACTAATAAGTGATTGTAATTTATTAACAGCGTAAAATTTATTACACTGACAATCCATAACAATTAATTTAAAAATAATAATTAATAATAAAACTCCCACGTAAAAAAATTTAATAATGATATTCTATCCATCTCAAAATAAACGTTGGTTGAATATAAATTAAAAAAATAATAATTAAATAATTAAATATAAATTCTTAATTATTATTGATTATATGTGATGTAATATTCTTAAATATAAATAAATATTTTTTTTGTGAGCAAAATTCTGTGTTCCTACCGCAAGGAATAGTGTAATAAAAGAGAATAAAGATTATAAATTACGTATATATTGTCGCTACCTTAGTAGTTACGTTACGTTACAAATACCCATCAATTTATGCAACAACAAGTAGTTTTGTATTGTAATTTGTGAAATTTATTTGAGATTTCTAAGTAGAAGATCTAAATCCTCTTTTTCTTCTTGTCTCACACCTTATTTCCAAACAACCCCCTCTCTACTCACTCTCCTCCATACTTTATACCTACTCACTCTCACTCTCTCACTCACTCCCTTTTTATATACTTATTTTTCATCCTTTTTTCTGATTCAAATCGTAAGTAAAGTTGCATTAATGTTTCTGATTAATTAAGTAATTAATGCTGTAATTAGTAGCGATGTTTAAGGGTGATGATGAAGTATAGGTTTAAGAAATGGGATGTGTGATTGGTCGACAAGCGGTAACATCTGAGAAGAAGAAGAGTTCAGGTGGCGAAAGTAACAGAAAGGTTGATGATGGTTGTGAGACGGAGAAGATTGGTGGTGGTGATAGGGTTCATTCGTTTCGAGGTGAAAGTAGAAGATCGGAGGCGAATCCGAGGTTAAGTAATCCGCCGAAGCATTTACTTGGGGAACAGGTTGCTGCTGGATGGCCGCCTTGGCTTACTGCTGTCTGTGGGGAAGCTCTTAGTGGATGGATTCCGCGAAAGGCGGATACCTTTGAGAAAATTGATAAGGTGTGTTTCTGTTTTCTTGTTATTAGTTCTTTACTTAATTGGATGGATCATGGTTTATTTGGAATGTGATTTGAATTGAAGTTCATTAGTGCGGATTATTAAGGATGTGGATGTGTGTTGTCAAAAGTAAAAGTCATTATGAATCATGGATTATTGATCTGTATGTAATTTGTCGAAGAATTAACTCTAGTTGAATCCCTGTATTTTGTTGTTGTTGCAGTATTTGAGTTTAGTGAGGGTGTGTTGTGGTAGCACCTATAGTAAAATAGATTGTGGAAAATTGACTTAAGTGGTTTAGGGATGTAGAGAGAAGATATGTAGGTTTTGTGGTTAGGAGGTAGATCAGATAGAGAGGAGTCAAACAACTAGAGATAGAGGAAGATCTAGAAAAACCATACGAGTAGTTATTAAGAAAGATATCAAGATAAATGATTTGGATAGATGCATGCTCCAACATTATGGTAGAAGTTGATCTTGTAGCCGATCCCACTTAATAGGATAAGGCTTGGTTGTTGTTGTTGTTTTTGTTATTGCTATTGAGTTTGAACCTTAGAGGAACTTGTGTGTTGTAGAATCTTACATTTAAGTTCTGACTATGATTCTTGTGTGTTGTAGAATCTTACATTTAAGTTCTGACTATGATTCTTGTGTCTTAATGTTGCTTTTGCTTTAGATTGGGCAAGGAACTTATAGTAATGTGTACAAAGCTAAAGACTCATTGACTGGTAAAATTGTTGCTCTCAAGAAGGTTCGTTTTGACAATTTGGAACCGGAGAGCGTTAAGTTCATGGCTAGAGAGATTCTTATTCTGCGAAGGTTGGATCATCCAAATGTTATTAAACTGCACGGTTTAGTTACATCAAGGATGACTTGTAGCTTGTATTTGGTGTTTGATTACATGGAGCATGATTTAGCTGGACTTGCTGCAAGCCCGGAAATCAGGTTTACAGAGCCTCAGGTTAGACCAGGTTTGACTAGATGATTTCATAATTGCTTATTTTTTTCTTTGGTATTTGGTACACTTTCATTTCAAGCAGTAGTATTTGATGTTTCCAAAAAAATGCACCTTATATTGCAGATAAAGTGTTACATGAATCAGCTGCTATTGGGACTTGAGCATTGTCATAACCGACATGTACTTCACCGTGATATTAAAGGATCAAATCTTCTTGTTGATAATGAAGGAATACTAAAGATTGCCGACTTTGGGTTGGCATCCTTTTTTGATCCAAACCATAGGCATCCCATGACCAGTCGTGTAGTTACACTTTGGTATCGGCCTCCAGAGTTGCTTCTTGGTGCTACGAGTTATGGTGTGGGCATAGACCTTTGGAGTGCTGGATGCATTTTAGGAGAGTTATTGGCTGGGAAACCAATTATGCCCGGCCGTACAGAGGTGACAACTTACATCTGTTGGCTTTTAGTATTTTGCGTTTCCCTTGTTTTTCTGTGTCACAACTATCTAAGTTGCAGTAATCTCGATCAAATTGTAGTTTACATTTATGAGGATATAGTGGTGCTAATGATTATAAGGATATTAATAGTAATTTCTTTTCATTTGCCTTATTATGCTGTGTAGACCAATAATTACCATATTATGTTGTCGATAATGCACACACAATGTTAATAGTAATTTTTCTATCTCCTTACTTGCATAGGTGGAGCAACTGCATAAGATATACAAACTATGTGGTTCACCTTCTGATGAATACTGGAAGAGCTCAAAGTTGCCCAATGCTACCTTGTTTAAACCTCGGGAGCCTTACAAGAGACGCGTAAGAGAGACATTCAAAGGTTTTCCACCGTCTGCTCTACCCCTTATTGATAATCTTCTTGCAATCAATCCCGTAGAACGGAAAACCGCCTCAGATGCTTTAAGAAGTGAGGTGGGATTTTTGAAAATCTTTAGCTTTGTAATCATACCACTTAGTGTCTTAGAATGATCTATTGTAATACTACTGTTCTATCCTTGTATGAATTTATAAAATGTAAACTATCTTGAATCTGATTCAGGTGTTATTCTTGTTGAGTTACATCTACTTTGCTTGTCTGCTCCTACATTTTGCAGTTCTTTATGACAGAACCTTATGCTTGTCATCCTTCTAGTCTTCCAAAATACCCCCCAAGCAAAGAAATGGATGCAAAAAGACGGGATGATGAAATGAGGAGGTATTTCTGCTCTTAAGTTTCCATTCTGCATATTAGAAGTATTTGGATACATTTAATTAAGTTTCCTTTCTGCATGTTTGATCATCACTGAGATACTTTTTATTTCTATAAATGTTCAGACAAAGGGCATTAAACAAAACTCGGGTTGATGGTTCAAAGAAGCATCGTACTCGTGATCATGCTCTGAAAGCTTTTCCTGCTCCCGAAGCCAATGCCGAGCTTCAATCCAATATTGATGTAAGTGCAAACAAATTATTAATATTTATTTTCACTAGCACATGAATGATGCTTTGGTTTATACACTTGCTTAATGCACATGCTTTGAGATTATTTAAGAATACTTAAGGAATGGAAAAATCTGCAACACTATAATATTGCGACTTAAAAGTAAAGTCAATCACATTTGTTTCTATGATTTAATGTGTAACAGAGAAGACGTCTAATCACTCACGCAAACGCCAAGAGCAAGAGTGAAAAATTTCCTCCACCACATCAAGATGCACAACTTGGTGTTCCTTTGGGATCTTCACATCGTATTGATCCAGACACTATTCCCGCAGATGTATCTTTCATTTCAACCACATATACTTATTCAAAGGAACCATTCCAAGCTTGGTCGGGTCCAATTGGTAATGCTGCTGATATTGGATTGCCAATGCGAAAGAAACACATTGCAGGAGATGTATTCGATTTATCAAAATCACCAAAAGATGCCCACAAGGACAAGTTTAAAGGAAAGAGAATTATAGCTTAG